TTTAAAATGTTTACATATCATAATAGAGTGAAACTAATGTGTTGCTGAATGTTAGCGTATAAGAATTTTAAACCTTTTGGAGAATAACAAATGTGCTTTTCTTAAGTTTGAATTTTTTTTTTCTTTTAGAGTTCAGCAGTGCCTAAGACCTGGGTTTCAACAGATCACCTCTCCATTGTGTGGTAAGTTAATACATGTCTAACAGTTTAGTGATTTGTGGTGGTCTTTTTTTCACATCAGTGCAGTGATTGGTTTGTTAGCTTTCTTAGAACTTTATTCATAAATAAATAAATAACACTATGGGAGAAAGATTAACTTAAGAGCTTAGAACTCTAACCTTTGTTCTTGTCTTGGTTTGACCAAGGTTCCTTTGACAACTTATAAAATTATCTCCTGAAGAACCAGTAGCATCAGTCTCAAATGAGTTTAGAGTTTGTCCTAGTTGGGCAAAATCAGATGCACCTGTAGTAGGACTATCTGAGCTCCTGGCCAGTGACCATACTACTTAATGCAGTAGTGCCTATTCTAGGGAGCAGCACATGGAAACCAAGTAGGAATTAGATTTATCCTTAATATAAATTTAAAAATAAGAGTATGGGTCAAGAAATAGGCAGACCCTAGTATTTATTTGTTTTGGCTTAAAGATTTCTTTTGACCTTTCTCTGACGGTATAAGAAGTAGTGTCTGCAAGAACCACAACAGTTCAGGCATATCAAGATGGGATAGATGTATGTCTGTAGCTAGGGTAGGTGAGGAGATTTAGAGAAGACAGAAGGACCCTGACAGTTCTGTCAAAACATCCAGGAAGATTTAATTTGATTTATTTTTATAGGTTTCAGCTTTAAGATATATGTTTAATAAGAATGATTTGTTAAATACTTTTTGAGTTTACAGCATTGAAAGAAATTCAGGTATTCCATTAAACAGTAGAATTGTACATGTTTGGATCAAAAGCATGTTTTTAAAAAGTTTCCATTTGTAACACTTTGTTTTTTAGGTGTAAACAATTGCAGTTGACTACGGTTCGAGCATTCTTTGATCTTATTGATGCTGATACTAAACAGGTATGTATTTTTAAACTAAAAATTGTATCAATAAAGTAATTTTGCTTTTGTTACAGAAATTATGGATTTATTGCCTTTCTT